ACACTAAAACTAAAAAGAATAAAGTTTTTTATTATTTTATTTTTATCCCAATTTTCCGGTACAGCATGCACCGCCAACGTCCGCCGCCTTGTTGCCAAATCAATTAATATGGATTGGAATCTTGACAGATTTTCTCAGATTTCCTAATTCAAGGTTTTCAAAAAATATACGCTTTGGACAAAAAAGTGTATTGGAAAGAATTAGCTGATTTTTATATAACAATTCCCGGTAAAGACTCCTTTTTGCAATAATTTTCATAATGTGTATAGAAATAATTAAAAAATTAGTTTTTCTGAATTCGGGCTCTACAGCGGAGTTCTCTATCATTTGCTTAGTAGGTATACCAAATTTTATAAAAAAATATTTAAAACTGAAAAAGAGAACCTTGAAGTCGTTTTAAGCCTGTTTCTAACCATGGATATCGCTCTTAATGCATTTTTATAAAAAAATAGTTGATTCCTTTGATAAAAAATAAAAGATATTGGTGTCCCCCAAAAGGCTGTCGACCTATAGGCCTTTTTGCACATTATCTTAATATAATTTTAATTCAATCAATTAACATTGCACACTATTCACAATTTTAATCATTTTGCATGCAAGTTATTTATTTCAGTTGATAAAAATGCATGTTAATGTCCGATAAAAATGCTTGTATTTTTTATTTTCTTGTGAACAACAATATTTATTAAATAATTATTAAATATTAAAAGAAAAAACAATGAGTTGATTTGCAATCGGCAGTAGTATCGCTTCCATAAAAAAATTGTTAACACAAACAAATAATAAATTTTGTAACTTTATGTAGGTTTTTTTTTATATTCGGACGATTATATATTATTTTTTCGTATATTTAGGTACTGTCGGTACAAGTACTCAGTGATTATCTGAAGATATCTAGGAAAACTATCATATCCTGTAGAGCATAAGGTTTCAAGGTTTTCTTTATTACTTACGTAAAAAATCATTATTATTATTATATTTTCTTTATCTGTATACAAGCAGAAAAGTTATAATGGGGACAGTTTGCAATGATTTTTATGTTAGTGAAATTTTTTATACTTTCTGGTACGATTATTTTTGTGTAATAAAATTTTTTACTATTTGAAGAACTAGCTAAGTACGAAATTTCACCAATTTTTATTCGATAAAAACTGAGGTCTTGGATTGGAAATTTGAGTTTTCCACTGAAGCAATGAAAAATTGACGGCATACATTTATACATTCTGATGATGGGTAAAATCACCACCAAAATTTTCCTTATTTATCTTGTAGTCTATAAATCGTCCCTAGACTAGAAAAACAAGTGAAGTAAAATTTATCCTGGAAATTAGTTAATAAAAATTCAATACAAACACTTCCATAAATAGCCATGTTATTGCTTATTCGTAATTATCCGTAACAAGCAGAATTTATTGTTTGATTGGCAATGTCATTGTCAGCGCCATTACGTTGTCGGGACACATGTTTTTCTTTTGTAATTACCTATATACTAAAAATGCTATGAATTTTAGTTATTTTATTTGTTTGAAGTGAAATGATCTTTCCATACTTTGCTTTTATGAATAGAAATATATACAAACAAAATAATTATTTATTTTAATTTGATAGAACCATTCGTCGATCAAGGATGTATATGTGATTTGCAAAAAGAAGCATTAACATTATGAATTCCGAAAATAAACTTGCATTAAATTATGTAAGTAAACAATTGGATTTGGCAATAACCTACTTTTGTTTTAAATTATGGTTTAAACAAAGTTATGACTTCAGTTGAGTTAAATTATTTTTACCATTATACAGGGTATTACCAAATTCGCATTGCATACTTATTTCAATTAAAATAAATGAAAAAATGTACACAAAATTTTGTGGTATAGAGTTTGTTTATGTTTGTTTAATTTATGTAGTAAATACCATTTAACAAATTATTTCAATCATATTTGACCGAATTAATACTAAACTTCCTTTAAAAACAACTTACATACTACTGCTTTTTAAAAATCATTGCCCTATGAATTTTTTGATTACTTGATTCTTTAATAAAAGCAACTATGATTTGATCCACTCCTTATTTTTTAAACTCAATTGAGGTCTCGAGAAATAAAATTATTCACAGAAAAATATATCTTCAGATTATAATTTTAAAAATGTTACTGGAAAGTATTTTTTTCTTAAATACTTCCCAATTTTTAAATTTATTGAATTAAGTTTTTTTGATTTTAACACAACCAAATAAAACTTCCATTCAGATAACTCAACGCAGGTTATATTAGCAATAATGACATCACGATGATAATAAACTATAATTTAAAAATGAATAAACCATGTATTCATATTTATTTGGAATTTTTACATTAATTTAAATGGTTTATTTCTTCCAAAATGGCGTATAAAAATTTCCCGACAATAACTAATTACAATATTCTTTAGTTTTCTCAATAAGTTTTAAAACAATATGTTGTTTCCGTGATATTTATTCTTTACATCATGTACTTTGATAAAGGACTTCTAAATATTATAACTAAGTTATCTGCAAACGTAGTCATAATTTGTTAATCTATTTGTTGCCACAAACTTTTATTTTTATGTAGAAGGATGTGGCTGATAAAACAATCTTCCTGACTTACTTCTTGTTTATTTTGTCGGCTTCTATCATGACTACTGTTTTCCGTGTTTAAGCCCATTTCATAAATGGGATAAGACACCTTTATCTACACTTGTATCTTCAATATTGTAACAAAATTAGCACAAGCATTAAAACGCCCAGGACAGTAGTTATTTGTGAAAAATTAGAATAAAGATACAAATTGGTATGTTGGTCTAATTTGATGGGTTTGATGATCCTCTTAGAATTGTTTGCAGGGCTATCTAACGCCCCTAATGAAAATGCATCGAATTGGACCAACATACCAATTTGTAGCTTTATTCTATTTTTCACAGGTATATCTACTATATCTCCTGGCCTATATCTTTGGAAGGGACATGGTTTGTACAAAAATATATAAGCTGATGACTTTTTTTTTAAAGCTCGACAGAATGACTAGGAGAATTTTTTTTATTACAAGCTCAGCGACTTTTTTTTCAGTAGAAGGACTTTTTTTATACCGGAGCCCATGTCAGCATCTTAATCCTTTATTCACTTTTCAAAAAATGATTTTGTATAGTAGTGTTACTTTTGTTACAGTTATTGGTAAGCAGTTTTTACGATTTTTTCTACAAAATTGTATCTATTTCCTATGTTTATCTTATCGTATGTTGTCATTTATATAACCTTCGGCGATTGCATTCTTTAATATGTTTTACAGATGTGATATCATCGCCTGCCTTCACATAATGGTGGCAGATGACCTTTAGAACGAATGAGCTGCAGTGTTAAAATTATTCATTGTAGATGTCCCCCTTGAAAATAAAATTGACTGGAAGATATTCAGGGTGGGAAGTTTTTGGTGCGTCCAATAGTGAAACTATTTTAATATTTATCGAAAAATAGTTCAAACAAACCAAAATTACAAAAATTACCACCAAGCTACACTAGAAATAAGTACCGAGCCCAGATAACGAGAAGATCCTATTATTTGCAAAAAATTAATCATTTAATATGCCTTTACATGTTTCAAGTTGACTCTTCATATCAGGTTATGAGATATTATTGTTATCTGGAAAACGCAAATAATTATTTTAGCATCTGTCATTTACATATTTTAATATAAGTAAATGAATACTCAAATAAAGCAGTAGTTGATATCCCTTTAAACATTTCTGAGTGTTAAAATATAGACCTTTGTTGGGCAATATTAAATAATTATTTTAAAGACATTTAATTTCAGTAAGTAAAAATGTTATATTTTTTAAATCTTTTGATAATTAAATATCAGCAATCTACCTGTTTTGACCAATCAAAATGCAGCTCTTATGCACTAGATACTAGATTGTGTGCAACTATTAATATCTACGATTTGTTAGCAAAAGCAACAGTGGCGTATCAACGTAATCTGGACTCGAAAATGAGTGGGGCTTCATATCAAATAGAATATTTAAACATCATTTATGCCCATTATTAAAAATGATATGGATTACTTCTAAAAGTATCTATTTTTTTGTATAAAAAAAAATATATATAATGGTATAGTAAAATACAAAAACTAAATCATAAAATTCTTATATTTAAAAACAATGAGATTATGAAAATCATAAAGTGACTAGGTAAAAATACAAGTATAAGTACATATCATTTTAAAGAACATAACTGTCTACCACTAGAGAAAGCTTAACTGTTAAGTGACATTCTAGAATGATTTTAGACCAATTGATGATATTATTTTGCATAGTTTATTTTTCTGTTGTATAATGGTTCCCTGTACGTACAAATCTGTTATTAATTCCATAAAATGTGTTATTCAAGGTCTACAATTTTAAACAGCGGATATATGGTTCTACTTTCCGATCACCCAGTTGTAACTGATTTGCAATTTTAAGAGAGTAATTTAAAAAAATTCTATACCTACAAATTTGCATAATTTCATGGTACTACTGTGCAATTATTTAAACATTAATGTTATTAGTGTCAACCGGATGGATTCTAGCTATAGAAGTGCCAGTATTTTTGTTACAAATCAAATTTATAAAAAATAAACTAATTTGTTTTTTTATAAATCACATTAAAAGTGTTATATTAAATTCTAAAATATCAAAATGGTAGTTTGCAAATTGTTATTTGGATAGATGTATAATTTAGGAAATATGGAAATATCTCAAACTTACGCACAAATCTCGATTGTTTGATGGTAGCCGGTTTCGCTTTGAGTGGAGAAAAGTGTGATTCGTTTAGTAATAATTCTACTTTATTCAAACTAAATAATCATGAACTATTCCAAAAATCACTAAGTTTCTTATCCCCGACCTATTTCAAAGAAATATTATGAGATCGTAACAAAGAGTGACAAAATAAAATATGAGCTCTAGTTATCCTTTTAATTGTACACATACTTTTTCTTTTTCAGATACAAATCTATAAGAAAAGTTCCTTCAACAAAGTGCTGTGATATTCAACCAGAACGAATTAATCTGTGATATAATAATTAATTTATTACGTTAATTTATTATGAAAAACAACCTCTCAGAAAATGACGAACAATAATCAAGACATATTGGAAGAAGTTTGTGTCGAAAACGGTCGAAACGCCGATCAGTTCGAAAAACTTTTAGGAAATAGATGTCAAACGGCTCCGACGTTGCCGGCTTTGCTTCCGGCTTCGCAGATCTGCGGAAAGAAATTAGAAAATAGAAGAAAGTCTGATAACAGTCTATTGGGTTCTTTCAATAGATTGAGGTATTCTATAGGTTCGAAAGATGGTCCCATTCAATTTAATAATAGGCTTAGTAGGTAAGTGTACAAGACAACCAAACTCTAATTCTATAGGTAAACAAAAGTTCTTTGAATTTCCCAAAAAAATATGTCCACATTTACAAATAATTCATAAATGAAACTAATTTAATTACGACTATTAAAACTATGGCGATATAGGTAAGAACACGGCATGTTTGTCAGGTGTCTTCAGTAGTGCAGATTTTCTTCTTTGTCTCCTGTGTTAGTGATGATTGTTTTTTTAATTTGGTGGTTTTTCTTAAAATCTAATGTGTAGATTATTGAGTACTAATACTTTACTCCTACAAACGTGCATACATGCCTTACTACTGTTTTACAGCGCCACTTTAGGAACAGCACTGTTAATTAGAATCTAACAGTGAGTGAAAATAAATATAATCCTGATTATTTCTATTTAATCAGGTACTTTTATCCTATTTGACATTTCTATCGAATGCACGATTCAAAGAAATAATAGTAGGTAGACAATCTAATTTCCACTTATATGAAATCTTTGGAATATAAATACATTAAAGAGATTAAAATAAAGATTATTAATTTTAACATAGGACTTGGATAAATGATTTACTAAGGATTCGTTATAATCTTATCTGCGGAAAATTTTGATTGATCATAATTAAATGTCAATTTAAAGATATTACTTCATTATTAACAAGTAATAAATTTTTGGGTCGCTATCGAAAACATTAAATTTAGCTCCATCATGGCTGCATTGAATTCATTAGTATTTCTAGTAAAAGTTATGGCCAGGGAATAGCAAGGCTATCGATACCATATACTGTTTCTTTAAGTATAGGTACACGCTGTTATCCATTTTTAGTTAATTTAAAACTATAAAATGACAGCTCTCTTCTAGACGGTTATTTAATATTTGGCAATTCATGGCACACATGATTTAATTAAAATACTTAGGGAATGACTACGTAGAGGAGCCAATGACACGTTTTTGGTACACATTTAAGCAAAGGTTCTAGAAACTTGAAATACTTTGCTGTAGATGCACCAGAGATGGAACAATCGATAACGGCGTTTTAAAAAAACCGTTGATTAGTTAATTAACCTGACATAAGCATTCATGGCTCAGTTCGTTATCGCGCTCAACTTTGTCAAAATATGAGACTATTGCTGGTATTGTATTAAGGGTGCGATATATTAGATTGTATTTTCTTATTAGAAATGTTTGAAGCATAATAAAGACATTGTGAAAATCATACATTCGGTATTTTTTTTATTATTTATGATTACTAAATATACTTTTTAATCATTATTATTCAATATCAACTGTTTAAATTACGACTAAAAATTATAATTGATAAATTATATTTAGCTTTTATAAATAATAATTAATAACAGAAAAATATGTTTAGCAATCGTAAAGATATAATTAACCAAAACTATTTTCTCATAAATATAACAACTTTGATTCCAGGATTGTATTCCAAACATTACAACCCAGAGGTCTAAATAGTAAGGAAACTTCAACTATTCAAAAAAATAACCATAGCAGTGAATATGTAAAGGCAAACAGACACGAAAAAAATCCGAAAAACTACAGGTCCGTATTAAATAATAAAGGCCTACGGGTGGTCCAACGAATACGAAATATCGTAATTAAAAACTAATAATATAAAATTCCAGTTTTTCCAATTTAACTGGTTTACAAAATTTCATGCAACCTGCATTACAGGCTATCCCATCTCTGTCTATATTTTTGCTAAACTGAATAGTGTAAAAAGGGCAGATTTGACCTTAGACAAAATTTACTTATTTCAAAATCGCTAATTTTTAGAACACCCTGTATATTCTAAACTAATTGTAATTTGTAGAAATGTTGAAATCGATAATGCGGCTGTAGAATATCGGCAGTTCATCTTCTAGAAAATAAGGATAATATTTACGTAATATATTTAAAACGAACTTAATTTAATATGTTTAAAACGTTTTGTTTTATTTTAAACCGTGCAATAATTTATGCCTATAAACAAATGCAAAAAAGGTACACTAATAATAAATCTTAACCGAGTCAAATCTAGTAATTATATAACAATTAATGTTCACTCACTAAAAATATTGATCGAAGGTCTCTGTCTTACTTTAGAATTCATGTGACAATTTCCCTGGCTGGGTGTTGAATGCCAATAGAACCTTGACTTAAGGGCGCAGTATCACTGTATTTTTCATATAAGAAGCAAGGGTTCACCATTTCGGATTGCATTTAAATCCCGCTAAATGTATTAAAATGAATCTTCTACCAGCTTAAAGTATAAGGTTTGGAGAATGAAATCTCCTATTTTTTATTTGTCCTGTTTATACACTGAATTTTAAAAAAAATCATAAAAAGTGATTTTAAAACCACAGGCTAAAAAGTAGGAGATTTCATTCTACATATTTTTCCAAGTATCCCGCCAAAATATTTCTAAATTTTATTGCGTATTTTTCAAATCTAACTGGAAATACGATTAACAAATATTTGATAAATTTATTTGTCAAATTAGAGATTTTCTATGAATTCCTGTAATTGTGTATAGTTCATGTAGTTCATCTATTTTTAAGAAGATGTCACCGTAAAAAAAATCTAGCTACTCTGTTTTAGAGATGGTTTTAATAGGTAAATTATTGTTTAGAGGTACCAATTTTTGAAACAATGATACAGCTGTATGCCGTCTTTTATTGTTTCGTGATTTTCATATATATTTGTCTCGCTTTGCGTTCCAGATACAAAATTATCGATTTGTGTTCCTTGCGTATGAACAAGTATTGGCCACTTTGCCAGATGTACAATAAATATCGATTTATACGATAATTTCACAATTTTTTCTCAGGCGAATTTAATTTTAAAGTGGGTGAAATGTGAAATGCGGGAGAGGAACTTTATTGCATTGAGATGTAATTTGAATCCGAATGACCTGGCATCACTGTATGGTACGCACGTAATATTTGCGGGACTTGCCTTCTTCTAATGAATGTTATTTTATCTTTATAAGGAACTTTATTTCTGAGTTAACACGTTGACTGCTATGTGTATATGTACCCTTGTGTATGTCCCATTAGTGCGTAATTGTTCAATATTTTAAATTGTGTTAAAGACACGCAAACATGTTTCAAAGAAAAGTTATATGGATTTAGAAAATACATATTTTAAAAATATTTTTGGATATACAGGGTGTTATATTTTTGCCTGGCATATTTTTTAAATAGAACAACATGTATTTTATTTCAGTTTTAGAATGATTTGGTAATACTGTATTCAAGCCTAGAATGTTTAAAAAAACTATTACAGATTTGCCAAGCAATTAAATTTTTATGAAATTAGAGAATGATATGCAGACCCCAAATTAAATTATCATAATTTGGGTAGGATTACATTAATTTCAAAATTGTTTAATATACAGACTTGTAGCACATTAAGATAACAAATAGTGTTGATAGTGCTGGATTCTTTTATACCGAGTGTTTTGAAACTTGTCTTATATATGGCTACTTTGAGGTTTAATTTACTTAATTTTTTCAAAGGCAACATATTTTAGCATACAATTCCTTATAAATTTGCCTGTTCAACAATACCAACATGTTAGAGAATAACACCCTGCAGGTAGTTATACATATTTGATTGTTTTCAGGTTGTCAAATAATTTTAATTGACTTCATTCATTTGCTATGTTATATGTAGGGTGTATCAAAGCGCGAGGTTACGATTTTTTTAATTGTTTCAATGGAATTCACTGTATTAATTAATTGGTGGTATAACATAGAGAGTATCACATTTAAAAAATTGAGAAAATCGTAACCTCAAATTTTGACACATTCTATATACAACATATCAAATGAATCAAATTGAAAATATTGTTCGACGATGTAAAAACAATCAAATATGTATAACAACCAGGGTGTTTTGCTTTAAAAATGCACACTGCATATTTATGAATAATTGTTAAATATGGTCATACAACTTTTATATTATTTTTTTTTTTCGTATTTCCTATTATAAAACTCATGTGTTATTGACTATCATATTGGTATCGTTGGATATGTAAATTTATAAGGAATTGTATGTTTAAATAACATACAGCGTGTGGCATTTGAAAAAATTAAATAAATTTAATTTGGAATTAGCCATATTTAAGACTTGTTTTTCAAAACACTCTGTATAAAATAATCCAGTTCTATCACCACTATTCGTTAGCTTAGTATCTTATTACTATTTTTTTAAATTAAATTATAATTTAATTTAGGGTCTGCATCATTCTCTAATTTCATAAAAAAATTAATTTATTGGCAACCCTGCAATATTTGTTAATAAAGTTCTAGGGTTAAATGCAGTATTACAGCATTGCATGCAGCATTCTAAAACTGAAGTAAAATACAGGGTTTTTTATTTAAAAAATATACCTTTTTATTTGTCAGACAAAAACGCAAAACACTGTATGTCTAAAAATATCTTTAAAATACCCATTTTTGAAATTCATATAACTTTTTATTTAGAAATTATTTACGTGTCCATAACACAAATTGAAATATTGAACAATTATGCACTAATGTATGTCCAGGGCCGACTAGAGGGGGGGGTAGCCGGGACTAATTCCCGGGGCCCGGGCTTAAATGGGGGCCCGGCAGCGCTGTAAGGGGGCCCGGCAAAGTTTTTTTTTTGTTCTGCATGAGAAATTCGACACAAGATGAGAGAGGGAAGTTAAGTTTAAATTAATTAAAAGTTTTAGCCTAGAGAAGTTTTATTCGGGTGAGGACTTTTTTTTTGTTTAGAAGAAGAAGTAATTGAAAGGGAGAATAGTTTTTGATGTAAAGACCTTTTAAATTCTATTTCAGTAGAAGAGGAACAGTTTTTGGTTAAAGATTTTTTTGTCACATGGCCCGATCTAGCGAATTGTCCTGGGGCCCGGCCTGGCTCTCGGCGGGCCTGTGTATGTCCTGAATATATTATTAACAATATATATACGCCACATATGTTTGTAATAATTTAATCCCGCGCCGCGTGTATGTATTTTATTCGCGCATCTATTAGATATTGTAGTTTACCTAAGTATTTACTTAAACTACTTAAAACGTAAGAACAGACTTAAATTTTTAGAAAAACTACTTCGGCTCAGCAGACCCGACCACAACATTTGCTTCGGCAGACAACGTGTTTTAAATGATTTTTTATTTATTTGTTGTTTAATGTGTATTTGGTTATTAATATTTCAAAAATGCTTATTTTTCTTATTGATTAATCTAAAATGAACACGTAAGTTTTATTAATAATTGAAAATAGTACTGTAATTCTAAATTGATAAAAAAAATTATAATAAAAACTTAATATGAAAACATAAATTACGACTCTACAAATGAAGTAAATTTTTATAATTAATTTCTCTTTTCTTACAAAAACATTATCTCAGCAATATGTCATAAGTTGCATACACACAGTACGTCTATGTAAGTTGACAGCATATAGAAAACTTTTTTTATTATTCATTTTATGTAAAAGTTATTCTTTATAAAAATGTATGCATGGTCTAACAGAAAATGCAACCACCCGATATCAAATTTTATCAGTCGGTTTTACAAGGTTTGTCAAAAAATTTATTTTCGACAAACCCTATATACGACTGATAAAATTTGATATCAGATGTTTGAATTTTAGGTTTCAGACCATGCATAACTTTTTATGTAAAGTAACTTTTTTTCTAAAATTAATAGACCATTCAATTGTTTATGAAAAATAAGATTTTTTCTTAAAATTCTTAAAAAAGTTTTCCGTATGCCGCCAAGTTACACAAACATACTACATATAAATGAGATTAAATTTGTTGAAAATAATTTTTACTGATGCAGATCTATATAAAGTATTGTGGGTAAATACGGTAATAAAAACACTTTTTTATTATATTTTTCTTTTTTTTTATTTGATTCATTGGCTGCAAGACCTTTCGGTATATACAGGGTATTCCATTAAGAATGGAAGCAACTGAAGATTAACTGATGAGAAATAAGCCGATTAAACGAAACATCCGTAGGTAAAACATTACTCGAAAATCAAAAATTATAAACAGCTACAATTTTTTTTGTTATTCAGTTTAATTTTACTAAATTCAGCAAACGTTATTGGTGTAATAAAATACACCTATCAGCAAAAAAAATAAGTTAAATAAGCTTTGCCAGTGGCATACTTCATGGGCAAGTAACACCTTTTTCCCTTCTAAATTTTAGTCCACTGTCCAAAATTTTGATTTTTTTTTATTAAATTTCTAAAAAGAGTACATTATTTATTTGAAAAACATCAAAAAATTTAAAATTTTATGTCTAAATAACTTTTTGGATAGTGACGTAAAATTTAGAAGGGATGCCGTATTACGTACCAATGCTGTACGCCTCTGGAAAAGTTAATTAAAGCAGGTAACTAATTTTTTGCTGATAGGTGGATATTATAACATCAAAACCGTTTGCCAAATTTAGTAAAATTCTTGTGAGTAATAAAAAAATATAGCCATAAATATTTTTTGGATTTTAACACCGTAATTCGGAAACGAGAAACATTTTATCTAAACATGATTTGTTTAG